AGGTATCGCTCTCATGGTTTATGGAAGGGAAGAAGAAGCAGATACACTAATTGAGCAAATGACTCGGGATCAGGATCCTATTATTCGTTATGGTGGTATGTATGCACTGGCCCTGGCATACAGGGGTACTGCAAACAACAAAGCCATCCGCCAACTGCTACACTTTGCCGTCTCAGACGTGAGTGACGACGTTAGGAGGACCGCAGTTCTAGCGCTTGGGTTTGTGCTTTACTCAGAGCCAGAACAGGTTGGTTCTTCTCCTTCCCTTTTCTGGCTGGCAAGTATATTTCCAATTTGAATATCCAGTCTGATCTGATTGTTCATGAATTAAATTGTTCTTCAGCAATGAGTTTTCTCTTTCCTCTATTTCTTTTCTGTTGTGTTCATTTTTCCTTTTTCGAAGGATTTATCAAATATTGTGATTTTGAATCTCAATCCTACTTTGTATGCAGACTCCCAGAATTGTTTCGCTGCTGTCTGAATCTTATAATCCACATGTTCGATATGGTGCGGCTCTTGCCGTGGGCATATCCTGTGCGGGGACTGGCTTAAGTGAGGCTATATCTTTGCTGGAGCCTCTAACATCAGATGTCGTTGATTTTGTTCGTCAAGGTGCCCTCATTGCCATGGCCATGGTCATGGTCCAGACAAGTGAAGCGAGTGATTCTCGTGTTGGAGCTTTCAGGTATTGCATAGTTTATTCTAAAGAGAATAAATGACTGTCTTGTCTTATTCAGTTGCGTCATTTATAGTTGCTTTATTCATATTTGAATCCACATGTAGGCGGCAATTGGAAAAAATTATTTTGGATAAGCACGAAGATACTATGAGCAAGATGGGAGCTATTTTGGCCTCTGGAATTCTTGATGCTGGTGGAAGGAACGTTACTATTAGGTTGCTTTCTAAGACAAAGCACGATAAAGTAACTGCAGTTGTTGGACTTGCGGTGTTTAGCCAGTTTTGGTATTGGTATCCCCTTATCTATTTCATTAGCCTGGCATTTTCTCCTACAGCATTTGTTGGACTGAATTATGACCTAAAAGTTCCGAGGTTTGAGTTTTTATCGCATGCAAAACCTTCACTTTTTGAATATCCAAAACCTACTACCGTTCCTACAACTACTTCCGCTGTAAAGCTACCAACTGCAGTCTTATCGACATCAGCCAAGGCCAAAGCTAGGGCCAAGAAAGAAGCTGAGCAAAAGGCCATTGCTGAAAAATTATCCGGGCCAGAGGCATCTTCTGCTGGTTCAAATGCCGGGAAAGGAAAATCGGTTAGTGAGAAGGACGGAGATTCTATGCAGGTACAAGCTTTTTGTGCTAGTTAGTTTAATCATGATTCTGTTATAATAAGAGTATCACTGTTTGTAAGAAGAGTTAGTGCATCCTGTTTCATTTGGATGAAAATGATTCTATACTGATACTCACACGTTGCATTCTGGCAAGGTAGTAATTTGTGAGATTTTGAATACAGAGACGGTTCAAGAATCTATGTAAGCGCTGTACTTGAATCAGAGCAATAGATAGGCTTTTCAACTGAAGAGTCTCCATAATTTGGTCCATGGTTGATTCTCAGTATTCTCTTAATATTACTTCTACTATGGAAGTTATTCTTCAAATTTGATAATGGGTCACTTCTTACATCATCTCAAATCGGTGGCTACATCTCTGTTGTTGATCATCTACTCAAATGTGGATGTATGCATGTATTCATGTATGTGTTTGTTTATAGGTTCATTATGGATAAAGGTATGCACATTCACACACGTTTGGTTCCATTTTTCATAGATTAGGCGCATGGTTGCTTTCATTTTTCTCTTCAGACTTCTGATGTGATAAAATGATACATCCTATGATGACGCTGCAGGTAGATAGTCCGCAGGAAAAGAAAGTTGAGCCTGAGCCTTTATTTGAAATACTGACCAACCCTGCTCGGGTTGTACCGGCCCAGGAGAAGTTTATTAAATTCCTCGAGGAAAGCAGATATGTGCCAGTGAAGTTGGCTCCCTCAGGGTTTGTTCTTTTGAGAGACTTGCGTCCAACAGAACCCGAGGTCTTTTCTCTGACTGATTCGCCATCTTCTACTGCATCAAATACTGGTGGATCTGCAACTTCTTCAACCATGGCTGTTGATGAAGAGCCACAACCGCCTCAGCCTTTCGAGTACACCTCATGATTGCGATGTTGATTTTATATCTTTGCTTGGTGATTGGCTTTGCTTTTGATGAAGGTAACAACCTTGCAATCTAATGCTCGATTTGGAGGAAATCTGGCTTCTGAGTCCCGGGTCTGCAGACGTTGAGCCATATCTTCTTGCAAGGTGTTCAAGGTCTTTGATCAATCTGTGTGGGTCCTGGCAAATTCGTGGCTTTATGCTTTGTAGCAAGGACCCCAAAAGAAAGAAAAAGGGGTAGATTTCTACTGTTTTTACTGGGGGTGGGGGGATTGGGCATTGAAGTGGGTCTTCATAGGAGACTATGTTAAGTGCATTTTCTTGCTCCAAGCGAGCATTCACGAGACATTTGCCGGAACCATGGGAAGCTTCCCGTATGAGCTGAAGCTCTAAGCACAATCGCAGAACCTAAAATTTGCCAAACCTTTATTGCTTCCGATTTTATGTAGTTCATAATTAGCTCTTTTCTTGTTTTTAGTTTTTATTGCTGCCAGGACTGGTACTGTTTTTTTCGAGTTCTGTCACGGTGATAACTTGGTATAGTGTCACAACTTCATAAAATGCCTGTTTTCTGGTATGATTTTCTGGCTCGCGTACTTAACCGTTCTACCATTGAACTTGCGGCGACTCACAGAGGTTTTGCGCAGAAGAGATTTTAAGGAGATTTTTTCAGCATGCGAGAACTCTGTTCAATGGGTGTTTGCCTCAGCTCTCGTGTTGCATGTCCTATCACGTTCTACTTTTTGGTCTCTCTTGTTGGAATCTTTCTAACTAGTTTTCCTAAGTAATGTCACGGGACATCTGGAAGCGCGGTTGATACTAGTAAGAATTTAGTCGAGGATGGACTCGAGGGTTGAATTTTCTAATATGGTGTCAAGTCAGGTTTTACTATTTAGCCTATGTGTCTATCCCTTTAAGTTAAATTTCACAAGTCATTCCTAATTTGGCTTGCATCTAAGAAAGGTATTGAAAATATCTCATGTTGCTTGACAACTGACAATGAAGTTTATATGTTCTGTACATGCATGTGGTCTCTTTTCGCTTATCAATCTAAATTTTCGGGTTGGACTTTCTAGCATTATATTAAAGTGACATCTTGTCCTTTCATGTATGCATTCGACCTTGTCTGTCAAATTTCATGTGCGACTTTTAATTTAGCTTGTGGGGTGTTGTAAAATACCTCACATCACTTGACAATTGAGTCTATATGCTCTATACTCAATTTTAGTTGAATTAAAATTGAAACATCTAATTTATTTGCATAAATCAAGTTTGGAAGACCATATATTTGTACCACGGAGCAATCCACCAAATAAATGACCAATTATTATCACATGGGGATATAGTATTCTCGCTGTCATCTGCATAAACATTTTCCTTCTTTTCTTTTGGTTGATGAGATAAATAAAGTTCCTTATAATTTTTGGTTTAAGCAACAGAATGTCCGAAATTATTGTTCCGAAATCTCATCAAGTATAGTAAGTCCTCGGTTCCAGGGGACGAAGCATTTTATGGATCGATTACATGGCCAATAAAAGGTATAACGAATTAAAATGACAACGCTGGCATAATTTGCATTTCAATCTCGATCTAATTCATTTTTTGAATTTTGATAAATCTCGTCTACTTTTTTTGGGATAATGAAACAAATAATCCCTAAACTTTGAAACAATGTGCAGTTTGGCTCTTAAACTTTTGGTTTATATTTAATCTAGTTCCTGAACTGTATAAAGATGTTCAATATTTCTGAAATTGAATTAATGGAATGACAAACATTCAACATTTTAATATAACATATGGACTAAACTGAACAAGTACAAGAAGTTAAAGGACTATATCGAACAAATTTGAAGTTTAGAGACAATATTGCTCATCGGGCTAAAGTTCAAAGATCATATCGAACAAATTTAAACTTTATGGACCATATTACCTATTGGGTCAAATGGTTTTATTGGACCAAAGTTCATGAATCATTTATGTCATTTTCCCTTTTTCTTTTCTCTTTACATGTGTCTCATGGTGTAACGTTCTCGTTGAGCACATGGTGTAATAGGGGAAAGTGTTAGAAAAGTCCTAAATCTATTGCATTTGCGCCAATTTAGTCTTAAACATTTTCTGGGTGTCAATTTAGTCCTAAACTTTTTGATGTAGTGCCAATTCAGTCCTTCCGGCTAATTTTGGCCAAATATTGTTGATGTGGACGCCGGCAGCCTATGTGACATGGGCAATGCTGATGTGGACAACTTTTAATATTTTTTCGAATATTTTGTTTTTCTCCCCTCCCTTCTTCCTCTAGCCAGTAACCGGACCTCGACGACCAGCCAGAGGCCAGAGCCGGCAAGGTCGATCTTGCCAGCCTTTGACAAGCCTTGCCATGGCTAGGAGAGGCTCAACCTCGCCCAGCCGCTGACAAGACTCGAGCCCTCGCCAGCCCAGTGCAAGGCTACCCTCGCGACCATCCGGTGAGGGCGAGCCTCGCCAGCCCTATCCTCCGGCCGATTGCCGGAAGAAGGGAGGGGAGGTTTAAAAAAAGAAAAGAAAATCGAAAATATTATTAAAAGCTATCCACGTCAGTGCCGACCGTGCCACGAAGCTGCCCCGGCGCCCACGTTAGCAATATCCGGCCAAAATCAGCCGAAATGACTGAATTAGCACTACGTCAAAAGGTTTATAACTAGATTGACACAAATACAATAAATTTAGGAACTTTTTGACACTTTTCCTTTTCCTTGGTGTAATCATATGTCAATGCAATGTGTGTGTGTGCGCGTATATATATATCCCGATAGCATTAATAATCGAAGTGGGTCGAAGCCCACTTAGTTGGGCCGACGAGGTGGAGGATGCACCAAGCCCAACCACCACCTTTCTCAGCTTCCCAAGCGCGACATCCTTCAAAAACCCTAGCCGTCGTCCTCTTCGTCTTCCTCCTCCTCCTCCGAAAGCAGCGCTGCCACCGAGAGAGAAGCATTCGTGCCGCGGCAAGTCCCATCGACACAGAGCGAGCGAAAATGGTTTCCGGGTCGGGGCTGTGCGCGAAGCGGGTGGTGGTGGACGGCCGCCACCACATGCTGGGGCGGCTGGCGTCCGTGCTGGCGAAGGAGCTCCTGAACGGCCAGCGGGTGGTGGTGGTCCGGTGCGAGGAGATCTGCCTCTCCGGCGGCCTCGTGCGGCAGAAGATGAAGTACCTGCGGTTCCTCAGGAAGCGCATGAACACCAAGCCCTCCCACGGCCCCATCCACTTCAGGGCCCCCGCGAAGATCCTGTGGCGCACCATCCGTGGGTACGGACCTTAATCTCTCCTGGGTTTTCGCTCTCGTGTCTGGTTATTGACGCTGGTTTGATTTGTTTCGCTTTTGATTTGTTCAGTTGCTTAAAGCTCTAGTTTTTTGAGTTCGAGGAATTGGAGGGGAAGGTATTGGGAATGTTTTGTACTAATTTGGTGACCAGTGTTTGTTTGTTCTGGTGAGGGAACACTGCTACCCGTTGCGTTCTTGCTGTTCATTGGCCAAGACATTTGCTTTAGGTTTGGACCGAGGACTGGTGTTTGTTCAAGGATCCTGGAGTTTAGAAAGTAGCTCGACTGTGTTGGGACCAGGACCCTGCATGATTGGACTTGGATTGGGTTCTCTCGGATTAGGAGTAAATTGACAAATTCGCTGCTCGAGTGTTGTGATAAATAAGCAAAGAGGAAATGGCGAATGATGAGATAAAGACCATTCTTTTGCGTGACGTGTTATCAACTTGATTTTAGGGTCTTAGGAGATGGGACTGGGAGGACTCTCTCTATTTACCCATGAATTCAGAACAAGTTGGGACTGTCTCCATCCTATATATTGTCCGGCTTTGGCTGAAATGAGTATGATCTTTCGTCTTTTCCCCTTCTGTTTTTTTTCACCTGGCTACTTCTACTTACATATACAAATGTTTCAATTCCTTAGTCACGAGGATGGTATTGGGTTTTCCATTTAGCTGGTTGATTGGTTTGCTTTCTGTTTGCCAACATTTAGTATCTGCTCAAGCTGAGACTTCTATCTTTTTGAAAAGCTCTCCTTTCTTTTTACAAAACTGCGCAACCTAAATTGAACCGAAATGCAGGATGATTCCTCACAAGACTAAGCGAGGAGCGGCAGCGCTTGCACGCTTGAAGACCTTTGAGGGTGTTCCACCACCTTATGACAAGGTTAAAAGAATGGTCATCCCTGATGCGCTCAAGTGAGTTTGTCTGACAGGCATACATTTCCTTTTAATGATCTGCATCATGTATTGACTATTTCTTTTTTTCTCTTAATACTGTTGGTTTTTTTAACATTGATCAGGGTGTTGAGGCTCCAGGCTGGTCACAAATACTGCTTGCTGGGCAGGCTTTCATCTGAAGTGGGATGGAATCACTATGAAACTATTAAGGTGAGATATGAGTGCTTTTTCTTGTTATATGTTTTTGCGTGCGACTAGCTGTGGGGCTGTTACCTGATCTTACAGGACATAGATGTTCCAATGGCTGCTATCTACAGAGTCTGACTATTTTCCTCTGTTTCTACAACAATTGCACGACCATTTAAATGTTGCCATCCATTTTGATCTTCCTTTTCACTACAATTTGTTTCCTGTCTTTCTCTTCAATGGTTGTGTAGGTGTTATTTTCCGGCGACTTGTAGGACAATTTGTAATCTATCAGTTTGTTGATTTGGTTGGAAAATGTGATATAATACCACAGTTACCAATATCGTTGATCTGTCCAAGAAGTTGCTCTCTGAGTTTGTCTTTCTTTGCTTGTGTTTTCCAGCCGTGTTTCAATCTAAATGCTGTCATTTTTGGGTGACTTATGACTGTTCAATTTACAACTCTCATGTCCTGCTCATGGCTTGTGCAGGAACTTGAGAGAAAGAGGAAGGAGAGATCGCAGCTTGTATACGAGAGGAAGAAGCAGTTGACCAAGCTGAGGGTTAAGGCCGAGAAGGCCGCTGAAGAGAAGCTCGGTGCCCAGATGGAAGTCATCGCGCCCATAAAATATTGATTCCGGGATCTTCTCCTCCTTTTTTCCGGCTACATTTATTTGGGTCATCGTTAAATTACACATTATGGAGACCGATTGTTTCAGTTTTGGTTCTTCCTTTTCAGCCATATCCTAGTTACAGAGCTTGCAAATTTGTTGTTCTTAGATTGAAGACCTTGCACTTTTCTACCTTGATCTGAAGTTCGATTAATGATGGCAAAGGCAAAACGAACGATGACGAGAATAATCCGTCTTCCTTACACTTTCCTTTGATCAATTCTAGTATACATGTTTCTATAGGAATGTAAACAAATTATTCTTAGATGAAGTGAAGAGCATCAATAGGAAGATGAAAATAATGGTTAGTATCTTAGATTGGCTCGTAGAGTATCATAGAGAACAAGCAGACCAGGAATCATTCGAGAGAACATGGTCCTTCAATTGTTTTTCTCTTTTAAGTTTCAGGACGACGATCACTTTGATGTGCGCACCACAGTTCGAGACGGATGAATAGACTGACCGGAACAATAGCAAATATTGTTAAATTTGGAAGGTTGGTCAACTATCTTATCTGAGGAAGGAAAGTTAAGATATCGTATTTTCAGAATGTCCGGATTCCGATCGGGTTTCTATCGCCTGCCTCTCGAGAGGTCAATTCACCATTCATAAAATGCCGTATCCAAGTGCATTTTCTCGTACCTCCTCCTGTTCAAAATATCGTAACTCACAAATTTCAAAAATTTTGGGAAAATGACACAAGCAGTCCCTGAACTTTGGCTCAATATGCAATTTGGTCCCTGAACTTTTAATTTGTTCAATGTAGTCCCTGAACTTTAGCTTAATGTTCAATTTAGTCCCTGAACTTTTAATATGTTCAATGTGATCCCTGGACTTTTAATACATGTTCAATTTATCCCTGAACTATATGAAAATGTTCAATGTAGTCCTTCCATTAATTCAAGTTCAGGGACTATATTGAACATTTTCATATAGTTCAGGGACTAAATTGAACATGTACCAAAAGTTCAGGGATCACATTGAACAGATTAAAAGTTCAGGGACTAAATTGAACATTAAGCTAAAGTTCAGGGACTATATTGAACAAATTAAAAGTTCAAGGACCAAATTGCACATTGGGTCAAAGTTCAGGGACTGTTTGTGTCATTATCCCAAAAATTTTCAATCACCGATTGAGATTTGTCCGTTTGTGATGGAATAGTCGATCATCTTCGATGATCTGATCTCGGGAGATTCGGTGTCTTTTAAGTCATGCGATGAATTTAGGTTCCGTTTATTTTGCGAATATATTTAGACATAAATTGTTATCGATTGTGAAAATATTTTTCATTGATTAATTATTTCAAATTATACAAGTAATTGATTTTACGAAAATGTTTTTCAAATCATTTATTTTTCAGTGAAACAAACGGAGTATTCATCTAAAAATTCCAAGTTCGTGGTAAAGTTTAAAAGGAATCTAGTTTCATGGCCAAAGTAAATTTGGCTAATCGATATGAGCGAAAGAACTCGGCCATGATATATAATATGCGGCATTAATTAACAACAATCATCTTACTTAAATACCAATAGGAGTAAAGCTCGGCCATGATATAAAATATGCGACATTAATTAACAATAATCATCTTACTTAAATACCAATAGGTATTCGTGGCTCGTTGAGCACCCGACTAATCCAAACATACTAGCTGGCATGTTTTCATGTCATGTCTTTGCAAATCATCTCACTCTTACTTTGATATAGCTACAACCCAAGGAAAGAACGTGCTAAAGGGAGCCACCATTTTTACCATAATATATGGCATATGTCCTTCCCCTTTTTGTCATATATGCCATTTGGGTTTGGACCAGAGAGACCGGTTCCCACATTTCTAGAATGGAACTGGACCACTTGGTCTTGGAACTGGACCGACCGGTCTTCGGGCGGTCCCACGGAACCGGCCAAGTCGAGGGTCCAGTCGAGGAAGAAGTCGGAGAGGATGGCCACGGGAGGGTTGGGGTGGGAGGCGAGCCACGGGGAGAGGGGGAGGCGGAGATTGGAGAGGGTGGAGATGATGGAGACGTTGCCGAGGTGACCGATGTGTTCTCGACGCCGGGCGGGAGTTTCGGGATCAATCACCGACATCAAGTCAAGAACACGGCCCAGAAAGCCCACAGACATGGACGGTCGTAGACGACGGATCCCTCGAATAATTTGTCTTCTTCTTCTTCTTCTTCTTCCCACTACTGGCAGTGGCAGTGTGGCTGAGGGCATCCATTGCCTGGCCACTCGCCTTCTTGGCAATGTGGGCAGGAGGTGGTGGGTACCGTCCTGGTCGTCTCCGATTCCCATCGTCAGCTTGATTGCACCAGACAGAGAAGGGCAAGTACGTCGTCTTGATCTTCTCTCTCGCTGCTGTGCTGACGCAGAGCGAAAAGAAAATGGCCAAGGACAGGGACGACCCGAGATAGCTCTCCTCAGCCCGATCGCTGCTACAATCTGACCCTCCTTCAAGCACGATTCTTCCAACGAGTACTGTGTAAGTGTTTTATTCTTCCTCATTTTATCACGTGGCCTGTGATGTTTGCCCTGAGATGAGGAGATCATGGGTGTTGGCATTGTTGTGATTGGTTGAAGAGATGATTGGCGTGCCCGGAAATTCAAAGGATCAGAGATTGGCGGAGGAGATGGTGAAGACGATGAAGAAGAGGAAGATGAAGAACGAGATGCTAGCTTATTTTGATTTCTCTATAGAAAAATCAGTCCGGTCGGTTCAATCCAGTGCACGTAGTGCCTACCCTGGAATCGAGAACCGGACTGCCCATCAATAATTCCAAATCTTATGAAACTGAGAACCGGACTGACACCCCTGGGAGCTGGCCGGTTCGTGGTTCCTGTTGCACGTCCCTACTGTTTACTCTAAGAAAGAAAAGTTAAGGTATCATATTTTCTTTTGGGCGGCGCTATTTCCATCCCCTTGATGACTAAATCCACTCTCATTTATACTAAAAAGACAAAACTGCTATCTATCTCAATCTTTCAATTGCAGTTCAAAATGATAGCCCCACTCCTCCTTATTTCTATTTTTCCTATTCCTATTTAGGATAGTTACCATAATTAAGCATTTCACATGATTTATTTTTTAGCGTGTTAAAGAAAAGTGCAATTTCCGATATTTCTATAATGTTTTATACGCTCCGTGTAAAATTATCTCCTTAATAGGAAGGAAAAAAAGACATTCTTTGATATAATATAAAACTGAAAAGTCTCTTCTTCATCATTGATCTTATAACAACTTAATTATTTTTTGTCCCTCTTATATCAAAAGTTCACGCTCTTGGTAAACTTTTTCATTAGTCTGAAATATATATATCAAGTCTCTTTATTTACTATATCAAAGAATTTATATGTTGGTAAGATACTTTTATTCCGAGCATGTAAGAAGTTAGAGGAACATCTAAGAATACACTAAGAACATTATGCACAATAAGGTATTTTGATATTTTTTTCGATAAGCAGTTTATAGATGATATTAAGTTTTGTCAATCTAAAATAATGATATTTCATTGGCATTTTCAAAAAAAAAAGTTTCTTACTTTATGCAATGTTTTGACTTAATTAAACTTCATTAATGAAATATTTATCCATAAATTGATCGACAATGCGGAAAAGAACTAGATTTCTTGGAAATTTCTCTTTTCAACAAACAAACTTTTATGGAAGTAATATCTAATAATAATAAAAAAAACACAGTGCCTTTAATATAAATGGACAATCTACAATAAAAAAAAAACTGAACATATGAAATTCTCACCATGGTAGGTAGATCCTATATAGATATAGAAAAACTAAAAAAAAGGAAAGTAAATAAATTTGGAAACACCAATTTAAATTACAATTTAATGATAGAGGACAATTTTTATCTTTTTGGTGAAATTGGGTGGATTTAATCATATAGGGGGGTGGAAATAGAGCCGGCCTTTCATTTTCATGTAATTAGTCTAAGAAGGGGCAGGATGTCCGGATTGCCGATCGGGATTTCTATCGCCTACCTCTCGAGGGATCAACTCACCATATATAAGAAGCTGGAAACAAGTGCATTTTCTCGTACCTCCTATTCATATTATCGTAACTCACAAACAACTTCAAAAAATGTTCAATCATCCATAGAGATATGTCCGTTTGCGATTGGATCGTCCCCGATCATTAATGATCTGATCCGGGGGATTTGGTGTCTTTTTATTCATCCAATGAATTTAGACTCCGTTTGTTTCGTAGAAAATAAATGATTTGATAAATTTTTTCCTAAAAACGATCACTCGTATCACTTATAAAAATGAATTAAAACCAAATATATTCTCATCGTCCGCGAAAATATTTAGATATAAATTTTTAATGATAATGAAAATATTTTTCATTAATTAATTATTTCAAGCGATACTAGCAATCGTTTTCGGGAAAAATAATTCTCAAATCGTTTATTTTTCAGTGAAACAAATAGAGCCTTAATCTAAATAACTCCAAGTTCCATGGTAAAGTCTAGGGAAAATGACACAAATAGTCCCTAAACTTTGACCTAATGTGCAATTTGGTCCATGAACTTTTAATTTGTTCAATGTAGTCCCTGAACTTTAACCTAATGTTCAATTTGGTCCCTGAACTTTTGATTTGTTCAATGTGGTCCCTGAACTTTTAATATGTGTTCAATTTTTTTTTTGGTAAGAGAAAAAAAAACATGTGTTCAATTTAGTCTTTGAACTATTTGAAAATGTTCAATATAGTCCTTCCGTTAATTCAAGTGCAGGGACTATATTGAACATTTTCATATAGTTCAGGGATTAAATTGAACACATATTAAAAGTTTAGGGACCACATTGAACAAATTAAAAGTTCGGGGACCAAATTGAACATTATGTTAAAGTTCAGGGACTACATTGAACAAATTAAAAGTTCAGGGATCAAATTGCACATTAAGTCAAAGTTCATGGACTATTTGTGTCATTATCCCTAAAGTCTAAAAGGAATCTAGTTTTGTGGCCAGACTAAATTTGGCTAATCGATACGAGCTAAAGAACTCGGCCATGATATATGATACGTGGCGTTAATTAACGACAATCGACTCACGCACAAATTTCCTTTTATACCAATAGGTATTTGGGGCTCGTTGAGCACCCGATTCATACCCGGCTAATCCATATCGGGTGCGACAGTCCCCCTTCACCCCCTCACACACGCGCTAGCTGCCTTTCTTTTCATGTCATGTCCTTGCAAACCATCTCCTGATATAGGAGCTACAACCCAAGGAAAGAAAGTGATAAAAGGTAGCCACCATTTTCTACCATAATATATGGCATATGATCTTTTCCCCTTTCTTGCCATATAATATAGTGTAAATGCACATCTCATGCCCATGTAAACTTATGGCAATTAATTATCAAATTGCATGTCACCCCGGAAGACAGAGGGGAGATTATGGAAAGAAAATCCCAGCTAGAAAATCTTCGAGATTCCAAAATTAGTGCAATCGGATGAGTTGCCTTACATTCCCAGGTTTCCCTCCAAAGACGAACCCCCTCTGATTTTTTTCCATCTTTTTATTAATGGGAATCCGACCAAGAAACGTGCCTCTCATTGCTGAGTTCTGCAGTTTTCACTTTTGGAGTTTCAGTTTCTTTGCTGTACTCCCCAAATTCTTGATGGCTCCTCTTGGCCTTATACCCACCAAAGCTCATTCCCCTTCTCCATCGGCACATGTCGTTACCCACCTCATTCTCCTCTTACTTTGTGTGAGCTTTGTGGCGGGGCAAAACAGCTGCAGTTGGTACGGCCGTGCCGGCTCCCTGCCGGTCATTCGCGTCGACCCGTCGGGCCATTCCGGGAACTTCACCACGGTGCAGTCCGCCATCGACTCGGTCCCCGAGAACAACCAGCACTGGGTCTGCATTTACGTCAAGGAGGGTATTTACAGGTGAGTCGGCTTTTGCTTAATGCTTTCGGCGCGGGTTAGCCGACGAGACGATGATGGGTTGCGCTGCGCGTGCAAAGCTATTGAATCGAGAGTTTGCTTCTCTGCATTCTTTACGTGCAGAGAGAAGGTGCAGATTCCTCTTAGCAAGCCCTTCATCATCCTCAAAGGACGAGGGAAGAGGAAGACCGAGATCGTTTGGAACGATCACGAGACCATCGCTCAGAGCCCCACCTTCACTTCTTTAGCAGATAACATTATTGTCAAGAGCATGAGTTTTAGGGTAAGCGATTGATCTAGTGACGTTCCATATTTGCCTATCCTGGCTTCTGATGTCGTTTTTCTCCTTATTCGGGACGACGAATGTATGCCGGGCTTCGGTCGCTGGTGTTCGCGGGGGAGCAGAACTCGTACAACAACCCGCTCAACCAGAACCCGAGGACCCCGGCGGTGGCGGCGATGATCTCCGGCGACAAGTCCTACTTCTACCGGGTCGGGTTTTGGGGGCTGCAGGACACATTGTGGGACGTGCAAGGCAGGCATTACTTCGAGCGTTGCTCGATTCAAGGGGCGGTCGATTTCATCTTTGGGAGTGGCCAGTCCATTTACGAGGTTTGATTGAGGCTTTGACCATGGTCTTGTTCTTGAAATTATTGATTAATATTCTTTTCCTAAGGTTTTGCACGTTTTAATTAGATTTCCCAAATTAAATCGGATTCTCTTCTCAATACTGCGTGGCCAAAGTTGGTAAGGGAATGTGGGATTATCTTATTCGGATGAAATTGGAAGTAATGTTATTATTATTGAGGCAACAAATAATTGCTGAATATAATTAAAACAGTGGAATATAAGTATCATTTGGGTTCGTGCTACTATAGTGATTCCAATCCCTTTAATTTTTTTGGTAATGAAATTATGTTGGGATTTACCTAGTTTGTCTTGCAATGTATGTGCTCAAGATATCATCTTTCGGGGACACGATTCATGAATATATATTTCTACTTGTTCAAGCGTTTGGCTATCTAACATAATTTATGTCTTCGGATTGTCTTGTCAAAATTGTTTAGACATAAATTATTGCCGATAATGAGAACATTTTCATTGGCTAATTATTTCGAGTGATGCAAACGATTAATTTTTTGAAAATATTTTTCAATAAACTGTTAGGTGAAATAGGTTGGATATAGTAGAATGAAAATTGACACTCGATCGATGTTCTATTTTACACTTGTTATCCCACTAAAAACTAGTTCTACCACACATCAAGCAGACTTGGTCACTTTTGATAACGACACCATGTTTATACCCGTGTCAGGGTTGCGCCATACAAGTGCTCGGGAACGCCCTGGAGCCGGGGCTGCCAGGCTACATCACAGCGCAGGGGAGGGAGAGCCACCACGAGACGAACGGGTTTGTGTTCAAGCACTGCAACGTGTTTGGCTTCGGTTCGACCTTGTTAGGACGGCCATGGCGGCGTTACGCGCGGGTCCTGTTCTACTACTCTAACTTCACCACCGTCGTTGAACCCCGGGGATGGGATGCCTGGGGTTATGTCGGCGATGAGTAAGTTTCCACACACACCCTCTCTTCTTCTTCTTCTTCTTTTTCGCCCCGCCCCCAAAATGCATATTCTTCTATGTTCATTATCATTTCGTAATGTGTCGATCATAGAGAGTTAGAATGACAAAGTGAAAGCACAATGTGTGTTGTTCATAGGGGTGAGCTAAGGTTTGCTGAATATGGCTGCTACGGACCTGGAGCCGACGTGTCTAAACGAGTGAGCTGGGTGAACAAGCTCGATACGTCATCGGTGGAGAAACTGACGAGCTTAAGCTTCATTGATTCCGATGGGTGGCTTGCAAACGCTCCATTTTAGAAGAAAGGTTGAGAAATGACCAAAAAAGAAGAAAAAAACTAGCCAATGCTATTGTTTATGTTTCAATTTAGTCCATCCATCCACCTTATGCACATTGTTGTTATCATCTCTTTCTTCTTCTTTGGCCCCCATTTTTCAGGTTTTTTCCTAGGCAGAGTTTTATTTTCAATTGGTGGTGCTGAAATCTCACAACCACATGGCAAAAGTTTGCATAAATAACCCAACTTTTTCAAGGCCCATTGGGCCAAGCTCTCCTCATGGCAATGTTGGATTTCAGTCTCTTTACTTGTCAACCAATTAATGCCCCTTGTCTTTTTTATTTTGGAGAAGGCTTGTTGTTCTTTGGTCTATGTGATTTTGGGGCTGAATTTTTACTTTTATCCTTGAATTTTCGCTGAATTTATGCATTTTAGTCTGTGGGATATGATTTTGATGCCGCATAATGCCATCCGTTGTCATTAGATGTCCCTCGATTTGATTCATGTCTTTTGGTCCCTATATTTTTGCGTTGGATGTCACTATGGTACTCTCTGATAGACAACGTGATAATCAAGTTCTTGAAGGGAGATTCGTCCGTTGTTTACTTCAAATCGAATTTTAGACGGAATAAAATGGTGCCGAAACAATAAAAGGTTTAGAATTGCTAAATGTTGTGTGTGGTGACTCAAATCCAATTTTGTCTAAACTAAATGGTCAAACGGGGTGCAACTTGTTTTCATTTTTTCCTTCCTAAGTGTGAACATATTTGAATTTTTTTATTGTCAAAAAATTAATTTGAAATAAATTTATCATATGTGTACCGGTTTGAGATTTTTCGCTGCATTAACCATTCTTTGTATATGCCACATAATAATATTTTCATTAAATTGTTTTGAATATGATTGCTAAGCGGGACGTGAGGGAAAATTTTGTGAGAAAATCATTTTGCAAAGAAAATTGTTTTAGGTGGAATCCTTCCATATATAAAAACAAAGGAATAGATAATAAAATCAAAAGGACCATGACAATGATGTAGTAGATGATAGCGACCATTGCAGGGAATGGTTGGTGGTGAGTTCATGTTATCTCAAATATAAAAAAATATAAAAAAATAAAAAGCAACTTCCAAGACCATGGTCACCATTAAATGGCTGATTGGTTATGGCATGTGGTATGACTCTTTTTAAGGTTCAATTTCGGTTGAATGCAAGTCTGCTTTTGGTAAAGGCATGATGGGTTGGGCCAAAAATTGCTTTAAACTTAAAAGAAAAAAAAAATAGTGATCCTTGCAATTTGTTGGGGTTGACCTGCCCAATAAATCAAAGCCAAAAACCCATTTTTCAAATAATTTTTATTTATTTCAAGTGCTATTGGCAAGGAAAATGAGAAAGCAATGTCCATTCCATATTGCTTGATGTCATATTCATGAGAGAGAATTTGACAAATTGAGTGGAGGGGACCTAATACGATATTTTTTCTTCTTGTGAATTTTTTTTTTTATGTTTTGTACTTATTTTTTGTTAGTTTCATTTTGGTATATTCCTTTTTTTCCCTAAGTTAACATGGTTTGAATTATTATTAGGTGAAGGGACCATCACTTTAGCATAGATCAATAGCTTAAGCAACAAAAAAAATGCATGGCTTGAGACAATAGGTTGACTATAGGTGCATTATTTCAGACAGTATCTCCAGGAAGATCACATCTCCATGTAAAAAAATGCTTGAGCTCAATCCAAACTGAAAATGAGATGATAGGTTTGGAACAACTTTCAATAAATAAAATGAATTATTATTATTGTCGAATTCGGTTTATACTGTTACATGGGTTTTGATCGCGACTTTCATCGATCTTTTCCTGCGATTATAGACATAGATCATATCGGTCGAACTTGCGAAATTCCGCGTTAGTATATCTTTGTTTCTCATCCATTTTTACTAGAAGAAACCGCTTGGATTATCCCGATGCCTTATGTGAAAATGCCTTGTTTTTTCCCGCGATGGTAAAGTAGCGGTTTGTCCATATTAAATAACGCGATTTTTCTAATCATATTGGGTGTTCCCTTATCACACTCCCTTTGGGCAATAACTAGAAGTGAATTAGTCAAAGGCCCTAATCATTCTAAAACGGTGATTAGAGCTTGGTTTACATATGTTTGCCGGCAAGGACTTGTTCTTCTAATTAATTGTAATTAAAGTAACGTCCCATGTGACTTTCCAACCCCATCTGCTATTTAACACATTAAAGTAATAACAGGGACTATTTCTTTATTTTGGGGTGTTTTGTCAGTTTTATCTTGAGAAAAACGCAATCGATTAAGTAATTGCCATGCTCCTTTCAGAAAATAAATAAGTCGGCCCAATCAAGAATATAATATAAGCCTATTGACTTATCCCAACTGTTCTCTCAATCAAAGCTAGTAGCTCTTCCTTCCTATCAACGGAGCGGTTTCCAATTTATTTTAACACGGTATTACATGAATGACTCGATGTAATATAGGCACGGTGAAAATCGTCGTCAAGCAAGCAACAACTCGATATTTGATTTGGACCGTTCCGATGTTAATAACATAATGGAAAATCACGGTAGTACCGACTTACCGTTTAAGACGTGAGATATTCGAACGATTAGGGAAAATTAGAAAAGCGGTTATGATACGACATGATTAGAAATATGTAGTTAATAACAATAAAAATGTAATTAAATAAGAGAGAGAGAGAGAGAGAGAGAGAGAGAGAGAGAGAGAGTGTGTGTGTGTGTGTAATTTTCTTCTGCAATCATCAGTGCAAGCAAAGGAAAAGAGAGTGCAGGAACAATGGGCAGAGTCTTGTCAAAAACAGAATCAAACACTTACTGTTGTGACAGCACCAGAACTGCAAAATTGGAAGGCACTTTGTCTGGAAGTTCAGTGTCAGCTTCTCAACTTTTGAATTTATTTTATATTATTCATTTTTGGCACATAATTGTTTTTTTTTTCTTCTTTTGGGCAATAATCTTTTGCACAAGAATGTGTATGAGGAAAAGGTGGTGGTGGGGTCATGAGTGGCCGCCCTTGTCTTGCTGGCCTCCTATCTCTTTGGACTGGCTTTGTCTGCACTCCTTATCCACCTATTTCCATTTGCAACATCTTCTCTCTGTCCCTCTCTCTCTCTCTCTCTCTCTCTCTCTCTCTCTCTCTCTCTCTGTGATGATCATGACTAATTTGAACTGTGAGATTTTAGGGTCAAAAGTTTCTGAGTGTGGCTATGGCCAATTCACTTAAATGGGTCAGATCAGTAGAATGTAGGTTTGAATTATAATAGAATTGCAAAATGTTTGTGGACATCGATTTGATCTGTACGTACGGAACACGAACCCGAACTATTTATAAAAAGGGTTAATACCGCGAAAAATCTCAAACGGGTACACATTGTAATGAATTTACCCCGAATTAATTTTTTAACAACGGAAAATCTTAAACCGGTACATCAATGACAAATTTATCACAAATTCATTTTTTGACCACCAAAAAACCCAAACTGGCACATTAATGACAAATTTACCCTCCGTTAGTTTTCGTTAAATTGGATTAATACCACGAAAAACCCTAAACTGGTACACATGCGACAAACGGAGTGTAAAACCCCAAAATAGTACATTCGTCAACTGCCACGTGTCATCCATTTAAGTAATTTGACAGCAAAATTTAACGAAAACTAATAGAGAGTAAATTTGCTACGAGTGTATCAGTTTAGGGTTTTTGGTGATCAAAAAATTAGTCTGGGGTAAATTTTATCAATGTAGAGTTTTTTGTGGTAATAACCTTTTATAAAATAGGTTGCACGATAAATTAACATATATTGACTATAGATCGTTGTTCGTTAAGATGACGAGAAGGTGTATAAATTGCGTGCGAACATGCTTTATGTGATTATAAAAGTATCTTATCATGACAAATAAAAAAGATAGATGGGTTAGATGGGTCCAAATTACGTTAGTCCAATCAATTGTTCAAGGATAATCTTCTTGAAGTCTACTTTTGTCGTGTAGATGAATGTAAAGCTCATGAATTTAGACTAAAGCAAAACACGCACTTGATGATTAAACTATGGTATTTGCCCAATTATGGCAAAGTTGCTTAGTGAAGCTACACTTTTTTTTTCCTTGTGCGCATGTAGTTCCAAGTTTCCAATCCGGAATTTATCCACCCAATCATTTTTTTTCTTATTTTACAAAGAGGGTGAAGCGAACCGAATATGGCACGTGAATAGGGAAAAGTTCAAACAATTTGCTCTCTCGTGAAATTAGGCTTACACTTAGATGAGGCCGGTGTACCGATGAGCACTCGCGATAGGATGGTCATGACAAGCTTCTAACCGTGCCTTGTTTACACAAATTGAGTCCTCCAAAAACTCCGGCTCGCTTTCGCATTCTCTCCCTCAAATTCTTTCAGTCTTTTTAAGTTAAGCATGGGAGGGTACTTTCGAAGTAAAAACCGGGGAGGATTTCTTCTCTTTAATGGCGAGCCAGATCACACAAAGCCTATATCAATACAAAGCCATTTCATGATCCCCGATCGCAGCGCGGGGGGGGGGGGGGGGGGGCGGGGCTCACGGTAGGCCGCGGGGTACGCGATACTTTGCCCGCGACAGAGACAGAACAAAAAGCCCGAGCTGGTCCTGTCCCTTCTCCGTATCGGGTGTGCTGCATGCCTTTCTCTGTTCGACAAGAACTCTCACACTCCATCTCTCTCTCTCTCTCCTCTCTCTCTCCTTCACATGCTCTCTCTCTAACGCAAGCGCTCGCCGTCCTCGACCCGCCATCTCCTCCGCCGCCGCCGCCGCCATCAAATGTACTCGGCGCTTCACTCGCTGCCGCTGCTCGACGGCGGCGTCGTCGTCGTCGGCCCGGGCGGGGGCGGCGGCGGCGGCGGCGGCGGCGGCGGCGACTTCCAAGGCTCCCTCGACGGCGGCGCCGGCCTCCCCGGCGACGCCTGCCTCGTCCTCACCGCCGACCCCAAGCCCCGACTCCGCTGGACCGTCGAGCTCCACGAGCGCTTCGTGGACGCGGTCGCCCAGCTGGGCGGCCCCGACAGTGAGTCCCTCATCCTCGCGCGCCTCCCCGCTCCGTGTGGGGCTCCCTTTTGAGGTTCCTCGGATCCCCCGGGTTCATTTGATCGTGTCGGTCCTTGCCGCCCAACTGCACGGAATCGCTTTCCGTTCGTGTTTTTTTGGGACCGAACGCTCGGCTGCTGTTGTCATTCCTATACTAGTATGCAAGAGTTCAGTAACTGATGGGAAAATTCGGGCTGAAGCTTTGCTAATTCCCGTCTCTCCTTTTAACCCGGTTTCGCCTTTTCGGTTTGAATATAGAATAAAAGCTTGTTAGAAAAATGCGGATGATTTAAAGAGTAAAATCCTATTATGCTGATGTCAATTAGGAGATGAGGACCTAGTTTTTGCAAGCAGCCCATTGGGACTTTCTGTGCAGTTGCGAACTTTTTTTTTTGTGTGTACGCGCTGCAATTTCAAATAGCCTGATCAGTTTAGAATCTTCAACAATAGTTACATGTTTCCAAGGAAGAGATCGAATAGAAAATATGGCAATGTAAGTATCAAAATCAATTTCCAGGCGTTAAGGTTTTTTTTTTGTTTCTTGAGTATTTCTGCGAATTTGAAAATAGAGGGCCTTTCTTAGAATTCTAAATAGTTTTGAATCTTATATTACGGCTAGGTAACTCCAAGGAATCAAAGCGTCGTAGGCACTCAACTGTTAATTAGAGCCGTCAAATGGTTATCTCGACCGCGTGTTTTAAAGCTTTCTGGGTTGCTTAATTGCTCTTCCTATACCCACTTCATGTCATTTGTGTCTGTCCATTTGCAACTACTGGTACTTTGTTTTTCCAAGTTTAGTTCATGAGTTGTGGTGTGCGTGTTGAGAGAAACAAACTGGAAGGCGCCATTGTGAGGTGGGTTCGTGATGTCTACATCTTGAAGTTGTAGGAGCCGAGATTGGGTTTATTTTAGCTTTCACACATTTGCTGGAGCTTGTTCAGACGTATGGGCTTATTTTATGTAGTCATGTACCTGCTCGTGGTTGAAGAGATCGGTAGAGTTTTGCCTTTTTCTGAACTTAAATCCTTGCAGCGAGCGGGCCTTACACAATTGATCGGATCATGAACTATATATTCGTTGCTTCCTTCTTTCTCTTTCTTCTTTTTCTCTTTTTTCTGCTGCGTTTCTCTTTTAGTAGGAATGTCTGGCCTGCAGCCAGAAACTTCAGGTGATATAATTCTCGCGGAAGCTAAAGGTAGCTTGTTTGGCGATGATTCCAATTCTTTCGTAGTGTAACTACTATAACGAGTAAACACTTTTAAATGCTTGTGTGTCATTATAGATTCATGCGAAGTGCTTTTGTTTCAGCATAATGAACCAATTTCCCGACATATAGTAGTAAAAGGCACTGGTCATCCATCCCGGCAATTTTCTTCGGAATACTGACTTAAGAGGGCAGGAATGTTTTTTTGAAGGCAACGACTATTTTAGTCACTGATTTTTCATCTGGAAATTTCAGTTTGCTTTTGTATTTTATTGATGCTTTTTCACTGGATTTCATGGTTGGAGTTTGTATCTTACTTATTCATGTTTCACTTTGCAGAAGCAACCCCAAAGACTATCATGAGAACCATGGGTGTAAAAGGCCTTACTTTGTATCACTTGAAGTCTCATCTTCAGGTTTGTTGCTAAAGTGAAGCATAATTTGGTTGCTTTTACCAATTTTTTACTTCCAGAGTTGTCTGGTCTTGTGTCAATTTGAAGTCTAGAGGTTCAGAGACACTCATATGAGAGAGACTTGAAAAACTTGGGGTTTTCTAAGCCAGCTTTTATCATCTAGTTTATTCGTCCATATGCTCTACACTTCAAATTTGTGCCTTATTCTTGCAGAAGTACCGTTTGGGGAAACAGTCAGGCAAAGATTCAAGTGGCAACTCCAAGGATGGTTTGCTCTCTATCACTTCTATTTTTTCTCGCAAAGAGAGTGTAGAATTATGGTTAGGCTAGTTTGAAAAGAACCTCCACTCTATCACTTCCATTCTTGTTCTGTATGTTTTATATCCATACGGTTCAATCAATAGCTCCTCGAATGAAATTAACATCCCTTGCATCTATTGGACATTCCCATCTTTGGTAGGAAGGCTCGCTTCCACCTTTGATATACATTACTAAGCTAGTTACCACATCTTTTATACCTCTTCATTTAGACAAGCACTTTCTATTTGTATTGGCAAAACTAATTTCTTAAGATGTTGGCAGAAAGTTTTCTGTTTACGCTGCGTTTTATTTTTTTAAATTCTGCATACATAACTAGCCACACTCACTGTTTATTGTTGATGCTGTAGCCCCATGTGATACGGAGAGTCTGAATACAGGCTCATCTGCTACCTCTTCATCAAGAATTCTCACCCAGGAACTTAATGAGTATGCTTCTATTCCCTTCATGATAATCAAGCTTTTGGTGTCTATCTGCTTTTAAGTGATTGGCTGTTTTTTTTATCTTTGAAACAGCAATTACCGAGTTACGGAGGCTTTGCGTGTCCAAATGGAAGTCCAACGAAGGCTTCATGAGCAGCTGGAGGTTGGTTTCTTCTCTCATTTGGTGTGAATAGAAATAGCATCAAATCTTTAAATTAACGGAAAATAGCAGATCTGTTTTTACCAAATCAACATGTGGTCATTAAGATGCGTATGCGCAGACTGAAACTAATAAATGTTAGGTTGGCTGTACTCAGCTTAGCTGCTGTATGCTAAGAGGAGAAAGTGGTACTAAATGAACCTGGTTCTCTTGCATCGAATATGCATAGGCTCTGCTGGTGGAAAGTTCTTGCTTAATTACATAAAGTGAGAGATGTGCTTGGTTTATGCTTTCGGCTGATGATGGTCAATTGAAAAGAGAAAATGTTTAAACCGTTAATTACATCAGAGAAGATTTCTTATACATTTCCTTCATTCTCTAACTAATCGTTTTACCCAACACCTTATCTCAAGATTCAGATTCTTTAACTACCAATAAAATAAAATAAATATCTAATGTGCTAGCATAAAAGAGTTTATTGGCGCAAACTCATGGCACAATAGAAGGAATAAACCATCTGGTCTTTACCGTTATAGGGTTCTCTTATGAATTTACAACTATACTTTGTTAAAGCATTTGCGCTGCCCAGGTCCAGCGCCATCTCCAACTGCGGATTGAAGCCCAAGGGAAGTATCTACAATCAATACTTGAGAAAGCTTGTAAACTTCTCAATGACCAAGTCGCTGTCCCTGCTGGGCTTGAAGAAGCTAGAGACGAGCTCTCTGAACTAGCTATTAAGGTCTCTAATGACTGTCCTGGACTAAGGCCTGTTGAAACTCTGACGATGCCTTGTTTCTCCGAACTAGCAGCTACTTTAGATAGCAACTCACTGTCTGGTTTGCCATCTCGGGTCGGTGACTGCACAGCGGAAAGCTGCTTGACATCATTGGACAGCTCATTTTCACCTAATACTTTAGGTTCGCATGTTATTTCCGTGAAGAAGAGACTAAGGCCAGTGTTTGGTAATCGGGAATTATTGCCAATGGAAAGCAGCACACAAAAGCAAGTAGACTGGATGATGAATAATATCGGATGAAGTATGAGCATGTGCCTCCAGCGAACATAACACCATCATGATTATTTGTCCTTGACATCATCGTTTGCTGTTTGGTTGATCCAACCGGGCGATGTCAATTATAGAAACTGTAGTCTGTATATCTTGAAAGTAGATATTTGGAATCGGCACAAATTAATGGTATAATCAAAGTTTCTAGCATAATGATTGTGTTGATGGAAAGCTTGTACTACCTATGTGGAGATCCATCACTGATGGGAAATATCATTAACGCAATGCTTCCACCATCAAAAGCTGTTTCGAGTTTCTTACCTTTTGCCAAATGCTTCATGGTAAACTGAAATCTACTTCGACATTGGAGGAGAAGTAGATACCATCTGGATAACGACTTCATTGGTAATTGCATTGCGCGTTACTTACTATCAGTAGACTGTTGGAAGATTTTACATTGTCTTTTTTTAATTGGTAGAAAGATTTACATTGTCTTGGTTTTGTTATCAGGGCAGAATACTGGAACTACTGACAAAATGTGATAATAGATAGTGTCAAACTGTTATAACACTACCCTTTTGCCTTTCGAGGCAAAATGGTGTACTCATGGTATGGTTTGGCTTGTGTGCATATATTATGTTTAGCCACCTGAAAACTGGCTTTAGAGTATTATGATTTCTTTGCTTCTATCTTCCTCGTCCCTTTGATTGTTCCCTCATCATCCGGTATTATTTTCTAACCATAACATGATGCGATTTGTTCTTTCTCCTTGTTCATTATCGGGTCTAATTAGTTAACCTCTAAAACCAGCGACCCACTCGTCATTTGGGGATCGATCTTATTACGAATAGAATTGATTGGTATAGAGGAAATGCCGACTTCCTTGCTACTTTTTGTTTTTCAATGCTTTTTGCTTATGAAATATGCGCAGTGTCAGTAGCCCTGTGTTTGGTCAATTATTCCATCCAATAACCGGTCAAAGCTACATCTTACAAAGAATCAATCAAACTCTGTTCCTCTTTATGCTGGCATACCCAGTTTTTATACAGAGTTTGGCGATTTTCGGTTGGAACTAGACAGATCTGTGATGTCTCTAACTCAAGCTCAGTATGAAACTCTTCTTCTGTTGTAAAATGGATAGGCAGAGAATAACATTGATGACTTTCCTTCTAATATTCTCCTTTCGCCAATACTTTGTTTTCACTCGCAGCCCAAAATTGATGTTCAGATGCAGGAGCTCTCCAGAATTTCGTGCTAAAGCTCCTTCGAGAAACTACAGCAAGCTTTGCAGAGACGAAAGGTTCTATTGGATGAGTCTGTTTCTTTACTCTTTTTCATTCAGAACCTCACTTGCTAATGCTGTCGTTATAAACCATTCTATGCTGAAGCATTTCCTGATGAAAAGGCCACCAGTCTATGCAAATGTTTTATTGGCACTCTTTTCTTGATTATAACCCAGCTAATTTCTATTGAAAAGTTCCAAATTGGAAGACCCGTTCTACTGAACTTAATTCCCTGAATAGGATCACGGCACTTTCATCTCGCCCATTGAGTATGTGTATTTAGCAGGGGCTCAAACAGACAATGGTTCAGACTCTAGTTTAGAATTGACAGATAGTTGAGAGAAGCACTCTTGCCTGATTCAGACTCTTATCTCCAGAATTAGCTAGTAGTGGACCTATAGAAGGTTGGGGTGGTTCTCTCCATACCTAGGACATGGCAAACATTCCTTCAAGCTTCAGGAAGTGTTTGCTTATTCTGTCATGCATAGAGATGGACCGAATTTCGCATAAGAACCAAAACTCGGGCAATGTCTGTACATGTATGCATCCCGAGCCGAAAACATACACAGGCACTCAGAAAATTTGCAATGTGGAGGTATTGCATACAGTCAACAGTGACATTCTAGTGACTATGATCTGATCTCCGCACATACATACTATCATCCATCCTATTACATTCCCTCTGTACACTACAGGGTAAGGAATTATCCGCAGATCGCTCACGACAAATTGATGGCAGCATCAAGCTTCTTCTCTTTTAAAATCTCATGCTGGTTTGGCAGATCCTATTGAATTCCTAGAGCTTGCATACTTCTAATCATTGACAAAGAAGTGGCATTTCTTCGCCTCCACTCGTTCACGCTCTCGTCCTGACATTGTAGGAGGCATCGATCGTTCCCATCAAGGATGCTCACTATCTGCCTGACGCTCGGTCTCGATCCCGGGTCGGATCTCGTGCACGCTATTCCCAATTTGACCAATCTCATCAATTCTCTAGGATTGTACTGGCCGTTCAATCTCATGTCAACCAATTCTTCTATTCCCTTCATCTGTGCCTCTAATTCACACACCCTTCTCACTAAGAACACTTCAGGCCTCCGAAAATCAACCGCCATATATCCTGTGACCACCTCAAGTGTCACGACACCGAAGCTGTATATATCTGTCATCGTGGTTGCTTCCCCTGATTCAATATACTCAGGCGACATGTAGCCAAAGATCCCTCGAACCGATCTATTTGCATTACGTGCTGCGCGATGCCCATCATCGTTTCTTGTCAAGAATTCGGCAAGGGCGAAGCAGCTAAGCCGCGGGTTCATGTCCGGATCGAGAACGACGGCAGAAGAGGTGATGTTTCTGTGAATCACTTGTTCGTCCCAATCTTCGTGGAGATAAAGAATAGCAGAAGCGAGCGATCGGATGATGTTGTACCTTTGGCGCCATGGCAAGACAAGGCGGCCCCTGCGCGGATCATCATGATGGAACAGGAGATGGCTCAGGAGGCAGTTCGTCGAGTAGTCGTACACGACGAGCATCTCTCCTTGCTCGGTGCACCATCCACGGAGCTGCACAAGGTTGCGATGCCGGAGCCTGCCCAAATTGTGCAACTCGCTCGAGAACCGGGCTCGTAGTGCAGGGCACTTGCTCATGCCGAGCCTCTTGACCAGTATGTGCTGGCGGCTATTAAGGAAACCGCGGTAAGCGGTCCCAAAGTCCAGCTCTGCAACCCTCCGCGACTCAGAGAAATTGTCCGTGGCGGTGACAAGCTCTTTGTACGATATCTCGCGCGGGGTTTCGACCGAGAAGAAAGCATTCACCCGGGGACGGCAACCCCCGTTAGCAGAGGAGGAATTGTCAGCATTGCTATTGGTCTCTCCTCTTTCTGCCGTCGCATATATGGTTTCAGCATTGGCGGTGACATAGTGCGACATGCTAAATGCGGTGCCGGTCGTGGTCGTGGTGGTCGACGTGGTGGCGGACTGGCCTAATTCCGTGGTCGTGCCGCTCATACTTGTGCTTGTTGGGGAGGCTAGAGAGATGTACAAGGGGTATGATAGGAAGGAAGGGAGGGCCGGCAGCTTCCCCGGAACGTTGCCCGAAAGCACCTCGACGACCCATTTCATGCTCGGCCGCAACTGCGGGTCGTGGAGCGTGCAGAGCAGGCCGAGATGGATCATGTTTTCCATGTCGGAGAGGCGGTGCGAGCCGTCTGATAGCCTACTGTCCCCTGCTTTGAGCAGCCGCCCTTCATCGGATAGCCTCCTGACCCAATCAAGCAACACGATTTGCTCGTCCGGGCACGTGAGGTCAACCGCCCGCCTCCCCGACGCCACCTCCAGCACCACGATCCCGAAGCTGAAGACATCCGACTTGGACGTCGCGGCGCTCCGCCTCTGGAAGCTCTCGGGCGGCAAGTACCCGATCGTGCCGCCGATCCTGGTGGTCTCCGCCAAATGGAACCGGCTGTGAATCTTGGATGGCGGCGGCGCCGCCTCGGCGCGGTACTCGAGCTCGTGCTCGAGCCACCGGGCCAGCCCGAAGTCCCCGAGCCGGGCGTTGAATTGAGAATCGAGCATCACGTTGCTCGTCTTGACATCGCGGTGGATGATCTGCGTCTCTAGCTGTTCGTGGAGGTAATGCAGCGCGGCTGCCAATCCACGGACGATCTCCCGTCGCCTCTCCCAGCTGAGAGGCGACGGTGCTGGGCTCTCCTTAGCCCGTTGGAAAAGAATCCGGTCCAGGCTCCGGTTCGGCATGTAGTCATAGACAAGCAGCAGCTGATCCTCATGGACACACCACCCCCTGAGCCGGACCAAATTCCGGTGCCGGAGATGGGCCACCGCCACGAGCTCCGCCTCGAAGGTCTTCTCGAACCTCTCCCCTCTCTCCACCACGCATTTCACTGCGACCACCGTCCCGTCGCTCGGCAAGACCGCGCGGTACACTCTTCCGAAACCTCCACTTCCAAGAACCTCATTCTCGCTGAATCCATTCGAGCCAATATAGAGCTCCGAGTAGCTGAAGATCCTGGGATTGTCCTTCCCAACCTTGTCAGCCAATTGGACTCCTTCCATGTCAAAGAAGACGCCAGGCTGTTGCTTCCCGGGCTTTTCCTCCCCATCCCCGCCGTCCTCTTCTTGACGGTGACAAAACTTGACAACCCATCCGGACTCGTACACCCGATGCAACCTCTCGCGGATTAAACCAAGAACGTGACCCACGCAATCCCGACGGCGGCCTCTCTCGAGCCCTTCTTTCGCAGGCGGGCAGTAGATCTCGCCGGACTCCTCCGCGGGCAGAACGAAGCAGACGCGGTTCATCATGGCCGCGCGGTCGAGTGGCAAAACGGCTCGGTTCGCCGCCTATCCGGGGTTATGAGATATAATATATGGTGAACATGGAAGAAGAAGAAGAAGAACAAGAACAAGAACAAGAAGAAGAAGGACAATAACGATGGGGTTGCAGGAGGAGAATTTGAGATGTACTTTGGATCTCTCTTTCTTTTACATTTCCTTTGGGCGTGTGTGCGTGTGGATGGTTCAAGTGCATAAAAGGGGTGTGTGCTCGGGTTCAATTCAACGTTGTTAGGTTTGCATGGTTTGAATTGTATGGCAGTCACCGGCCCAATCTGAACCTGCCCCCCCCATCGTGACGTCACTCTAGAGAGAGAGAGAGAGAGAGAGAGAGAGAGAGGGAGGAAGAGGATTCTTCCTTTCAATTGTCAATCCCCAGTTCCACCGCAGTCCTTGGGTTGTTTTGCTTCTAGAACATGTAAAATTCCATGGAGGCCTAGCAAATAAAATTCTCCGAGCAGCCGCAACGTGTGAACGGGCGAATCGGGCCGTCGCCGGACGTACCGATTAGATTACATGTGAGCTCGGTGCATCACGACTGTCCGGTCATGCGAACTTCACGCGTGGCCGATCGAAATCAGGGGCGCCGGTGCGAACGCCGTCAGGTGTTAGCTTTTTGGCATCGGGAGGTCAAAACAGGAGAAGAAGAGAATGTCTTGGCTTCTTTTGCTTTGTTTCTCTGTTTCTTAACTTTTTCTCAAGAAGGAATGGGATGGACTGCCCCATCTAGATTTCATGGGATTTATTGCCCTCTTGGGTTTTGGGAATATCAGATTATCATAAATCTATCTCTTT